ATCGCCATTTTCTGTTTGTTTGGTCGAGGTAACCAAAGTGTCAGTGAAGTGGCTTTCAGCCCGACTTAGCCAACTCACCTGTGCATTGAAGATTTTTTAAACGACAACCACATCTCAACGTTTTACTTTCGGTAAGAGGCTAGTCAGTTTTGAATAGAACATAGAGACATGGCGAAACTCACTACTGCTGTTAGTCCCCACTACACCGTTCAGCCAAACTGAGAAAAGTAACCTACACCTGTGATCTAGTGGGACCGTGGGTTACATATTTATTTCGATATGGGCTTCCGATTTGATATCTTACCGTGTGCACCATTGGCTTTGTTGCAAGCTGACGTTAAGACGCGCTCCTTTTTCTGCTGTTGGCTGGATTTACCTGGCGGTAGAAGCCGTTCTCATTTGACAATAACAAGAGTTCAAATTTCCTTATAATTATTAGCTTAAGTGCCGAAAAGCTGTCTTCCCTTGTACTATGACATGTTGCTCTACACGATGCTGAACCAGTTGTGAATAGTGTATTTTGAACTAAATGATTCATTCTCATTCTTTTAACTTAACGCATGTTGGCTCGTCATTACTATTCTTCCCCAGTATTATTTAGAATCTTGTTCCGTAAACTGCATATCTGCAAATCTCGGACACTGTAGAGCCCAGATATATGAGTACTTGAACCTGGAACCCAAGACTTGACATAGAGTAATAGCCCTTGCATTTACACAGTGAAATCACTAGCTACAACAACCATTTATAAGCGATTCACATTCACTTGGAGGCAGAATCCACTCTTAACTTCGCCCATGCGACGACCAAAGCTTGGGGAGGAGCTACAAAAGGAATCCACTCAGCCAAATATTAAATGCGGTTCAACAAAGCAGCAAATTTTCTGCCAGACTCGAGAGCCAGCAATCGGATCTTCAGAAACTAGAGTTTGACACGTTCATCACAGTAACTAGGCGAAGTGAAGGGATGGCCGCATTTAACTCCTGTATGCGTGCATTGAAAACACAGCAGGATCCCCAGACTCAAGATAAGAGGTCAACTGGTACGGCTGTTTAGTTAGTCCAACTTCGGAGGCGGACATTAGAAAATCTGCTGTTCGAATCGCCCTCTCAAGGAACACGAGTAGTGACAAGTTGACTGCGATTGACATCCTTTGGCTGCGCACACTGTGGAAATAGTTTTGCAAAGTACAATGAAGAGAAAAGGAATATCCTTCGTGACCACCGATCCCGAAAGACATCCCTTCAAGGTTCATCACACACGGCCTCTTTTGAAAATCCAATTCAACTAGAAAACCATACCCCTGAGACTGAAGCCCTTTGGACCCGAAGGAATGTGCTCTTTTTGAGGCAAATCTTATTAAGACCGTACAGTTCCCATAATCGAAATTCACTTAGAAACACTTAGCACGCTTGTGCAGTAGGCAATGACCAACACCTATTTTATGAGAGCTAATGACTTGGTTTTCCTGATCATACCTCAGTAGATGGAATTATTTTCAAGGCCGTAATTCATCCGTTGTTAATCAAGTTTCAAATGACCCATGGATCCGGTGTTAGCATAGGGAAAGTAACACCCTCACTGACTGCTGGTCATCCGTGGGAAACACCTTACCGCTCACATACCAAATCCGGCAAGAAGTACCATTTCACCCACAGAAATCCACCATCGCGTATCTATTCTTTTTGTACGAACAGACATTTCTCGTATTTTAGAACTTCAAGGAACATCTGTTACCACCAGTATAACTCGTTAGGTCATTGTGGTATCCAAACTTGACCACCACGTCAAGATAGCAGTTATCGATGTGATTGGATACATAAATAACACATGCACCAACTATCAAAAGCAGACTGGTGTGACATATTGCTCTCTGCACGACATTTTAAATTGAACGATAGTCTAAAAAGATCAGCCAGGATGAAACTAGAGTGAAGCTTATCTTTTAGGGAAATGGAACTCAGGATGATAAGCACCTCGGTGCAAAGTAACAAATTCAAGAATGGACACAAGTAAATGCCTACAAAAACGCTGGTGACAAACGCATGAGTTTAGTTTTTAAATCAAATACGACTTCAGAATCCTCGGGTCGCGTTTGTCAGGAGTCTTAAATATAGAGCACATTGCTGGGTTGCCACATTGATAAGCTAAGACTTTGATACAGAATGTCTTCGGACCAACAATCCCAAAAATATCTATCCTATCAAGACTAAAAAAGCAATACTCAAACCACAACAAAGACGTCATTACTGTTTCAATGACTAGAGATGAATTAAAACATGCGCCTAAAACGAAATAACAAGTGATTCAATGAAAGAAGTCCCTCTCAAAGATTCATTTGAAACAATAGGCTGTACAATCTTATGTCAAAACATTTCTCCTTCAGTGATCCCATAACGGAAAGTATATTTACGTATTAGCGAGTGAAGGAATTACGATTTACTTAAAGTGATCTCCTTCGCTCAAGTCCTTAGGATGATTAGCTACTTCACTGCACGAAACAGAGTGACTAGAATATAAGGAAAACGAAATGTCTAAAAGAAAAAAAACTAATCAATTGCATTACAAATGGGCAACCCTCTGAACTATTGACAGCTGTCCCATAATTTTTGGAGAGTATTCAAATACTATAGTCTATGATTGAAATGCAGTTGCATATGAGTATAGAAAGAATGATAGCATTCGCCTGAAGTTACACCTTATCAGATAAATATAAAGTATGAAACATCCGAACTCATCAAACGCTGCACGAAATATCAGAAAATAACCATAAAGATCATCAAATATTCTAGGGAGTATTATCTTTGGAAAGTGTCGGGTCTAGAATATGCATTCACTCTGTTAGGTTGATGCATGCAGCAAACTAACGGGTAGTAATCGACGGTCATTCGAAAGAGCCACAAACAGTCCCAATACTGTGATCATCTTGAAGACAAAACCTTTGCTCTTTAGAATCGGGTACTACAGAATATAGAAAATCCCTATCTCCGTAAAACGATAGCAGTTTATTTCATGATTTGAGAGAATACTACCATTGAGGCGCTACCTTTCATACATGAAAACCACTGCAGAATACATATCTCAACAATCAGGCTTGTCAAACTACTCAAAAGAACTCCACTTGAAGATTGAGATGGCTTGATAAGAGATACATACAAATTTTGTTCATCCATCACACAGTCCCTAGTGATGTTGTGCTAGAGTAAAGATCTGTTACCGAAGCCAGAACGGGACAACAACGATGAAGACTGTACCGTGCAATATCTGCCGTACACGGCAGAAGCAATGAGATATGCTAAATGAAGGTGGGTAGTAAATAAGCGTGGCCCAACAGAGCTGACCTTACCTCACAATTTTTGATCAACATATCAAAATCACGTGAGCTATTTTTTAAATGCTAAGACACTAAAACCTTTTCATTTCAACCTAGACATTTTATTTCTGCATTCACCTAGTTGATAACAAGAAGAATGAGTTAGAAGCCATGTTGTTACTTAGTACGGTTGGTCATTTCTTTATAGGTATAAAAACATAACATGTATAGATAAAATTACCGAAAAGAACAGAAATTAAATTGTGCTAGATCTTGAATTAATCATGACATCGAGAAAAGATAGCAGCCAAGCTTGGTAATATAGAACACCAGATGAGATCGCAAAACAAAGGAAAAGATTGCGTTAAAATGGGTTTACCAAAATACTTTTTTGAGGTAACAAAACCACTGGACTTAGTGCATAATAAAAAGAAGACAGTAGTGCTGATTCAATTGAAAACCAGACAGAAAAGTTTCTAAAAATCTGTATAACCGGTATTTGGTACAAAATTTATCATTTCAAGAGCAACCATCTTCAAAACCATAAATGCAGTAATAAAAGTTAGGTTACTGAGGTAGCTAGCTGGTGGAGTCTCTGAAGAGGTAGGTGCCAAAACACAGAAATCTGTAGTGTTCGCTGATGTACATTAATGGTTATTTGTATGTTAGTCCAAAAAAAGTAAACGACTGCAAGATTTATCAAATGACGTTTTCTTGAAAATTGTGTATCTACAAAAAGGAAGCACAGTAAAGAATATAAGAATTAAAAGTCACGATCCGGTTGCTTAACACTAGTTCACATTATACTGTAAAATGATCACGTAAGTATTCACTTACTTATTATGCTGACTTTATGAGTCATTCATAATAAATAGGAGGACATAATAATTCATGGCACAACATGAAAATGCTTCGGCGACAAAATACACAACACCTTCAACGTATCAAAAAAGTATTTAACTTTAACATTAGACTAGTCAGTACAAAAGAACAATTTTGTTTATGTTATCATTCAAAACCAGATGGTCATCGTGAAGAAATGAAGGCAATCTTATTCTCAATAAGAATTGATTTCATTAGGATGGTAGAATAGAATATAAACAACAAGTGCACTAGATTTTATTTTAGTCGTACAGACTAAATTATGAACGAATTATATATATATATATATATATATATATATATATATATATATATATATATATATATATATATATATATATATATATATAGGATGTCTGTGATATCTGGTAAACCCATAGCCATTTGAAACAGTAAGAAAACAATGATGTACAAGGCAATGCGCCGAAATATGCGGAAAATCTACAGTAACACTAGTAATGCATTTACATTTAGCAGTTAATTTAAACAGCATAATGGTAATTTGTACTGTCGGTTACAACCACTTCTAAGAATATATGATCAGCTGTATGTTATAACTAGTCCAAAATAAAGTTTATTTTATTCGCATACAAAGTTGGACATTCAAAATTATAAGAATGAGTTAAAGTTTATAACTGAATAAGTCACAAAATGTTGGAAGAAAGTATCATTTGGAAGTCAAGGGGATCATACTCACAAACCAAATAAATTGTCTACATGCCGCTTTTTGATAAGAATTAACATTATCAATTTAAAAGACATAAGTCAAAAATATTTCCAAGCTGAAAAAAGTACTTATTTCATTGCTTTCAATATGTAATATGTAATAAAAGCGTTGTGGTCCCTATTTGGAAGTCCAGACACTGAAATTTAGAGCAATAGAGGAAAAAGGTTTCAAGAATAAATCCTAGTGAATAAACTTAGTAACCATGTAATGTGTATACACACCTACTGCATGACGAGTAAGCTTACTAGCCAGCCACCGAAGTAGGTGAGGTGAAAGGTGAACTAACAGTTCAGTCGATGAAAATTGATCCAATAAACACCGAATTACATAAGAATTAGATAGGTGAATAATGTTTAACTTACAAGTAAATGCCTCGCAAAGCTTCAATGGGTTATGGTTTCAGATGAAACTGAACTTTCCACCTAAGATGAAACGCATAATGCTTGTTAATTAGTATCTTTAAAATAAATAAAACAAAACTTAATTTCATGAAAATGTTACCCTTACTACTCAGGATAATGTGAGCAGTATGCAACGGTAAGTCTAAACAGTTCTGAATGTATTTCGTCTCCCTGTGTTCAAATTCAAACCGAACTTCCATTTTATTCTACTTAATCCAACTCACTATACTTAAAGCATTTTACCTCCAACTTGTCTTTTCTAAATTCTTAGTATCAACCCCTTTGATTTTCTGTCTTACAAGTGTTAAGTGAGTAACAAATATAATTGCGAAAATCTAACATGTCTAACAAACTTTATTATTTTGGTTTATGGAGTTTTCAACTATGTTGCATATTAAATGTATTTGATAAACTCAGCTAAGTCTATATTGTAATTTTGTATTAACAATACTTTAGCTCACAAGGAGTGACATCTTGTCATTCTGTTCAATTTCCCGCCTTTGTTTTCCTCAAATTCATGTACAGAAATATGTATATAGAAGCAGCAATTAACACTATATTAAGAGTGACCGTAAAAAGTAGTCAACATTGCGTACGTCATTGAAAAATATTTTGCGCAGAAATTATATGATTTTTGGAATTTCCTCAAATGATGAATAGTTTTCAAACAACCAAAATATTCAAATCAAAATGTTGCCAATGGGATAACTAAAACTGAGCTGAAAACCAATGTATAAGAATTTGATAGGTGACTATTATTTCTAGAATCTTTCAACACTCAAAAGATTACCTTAAGAAATACCGAATCCAAAGTAAGATGTTCATTAACGGTTTAAATAACTATATCATATGCGACGGGTTCCCTATATCAGTTATTGCACCTGATTGAATCTTGCACTGATTCCTTCTAATGGTGTAAGAAAGTCAAATAAGATAGATAACGACGACTTAACACCTGAGTTAATTCACTTTGTCAATGTTTGTAAAGGTAAAGAGAGGAATAAAATACAATTGGAAACTTTCAAACTAAAATATCATTAGGAATGACTTTTAGTAATAGTATCCAATGACATCAATGTCACCAGACAAACAAATTCAATGGCTAAGAACTTGAAGCGATATGCTCCTATTTTAAGATGCAAACCTGGTACAGTATGAGCAACAATAAATGCACTATACAAAATAATACAAGAAAAATACGAAAACAAAAAGGCGATACATGGGAAAGCAAAGACAAACAGAAGCAAAAGTGTGGAAAGATCGTTGGAGCGGTCTCACAGATGTATTCAACGAAGCGTCTATTACTGTTGTTTTAGTTTCGATAACAGAAGAAACAAGAAGGCTGTAGTATGGTCATTTGTGGTTTTGATTGAGATGTATTTGATATCATTATGAGCCTCTGGATCGACAAACTGGTGTTACGTCTTGGTCTGGCCACCCTGAACCCTCTTCCAACCTATTCCAACTTCCCTTAGTATGCAACGTCGAGGTAGGCTATTGCTCGGCATGTGCAACACATATCCAAGCCATCTCAGTCGATGACGGTTTCATAACCTCATCGATTGACTTTCCCGTCTTGCCTAGTACCCGTCGCCTTAACACTGCTCACACGTTACGCACTGAGCGCTGACCCGATCAAAAATCTTGGTAATCATTAACTCTCTCTTCCTCTCTACCTCACTATATTGACCTTTGGGACTATTGATCTGCATAATCCTATTGTGTGATTGAGTCCCCTGCAGACAGTACAACAAACTATGCTCATAACACCATCCAGTGAATAAAACTGAACTTCGTGTATTATATCAAAAAATGAAATCCCTATGTTGATTCTCTTTACTTAAAGCAATATACCTTAAAACTTCTTTGTCATTATGAAATGCAATTTGAAAAATAGATATATGACTAAGGACAATTATGTACCACACATACACAATTGTCGCAAAAAATATTTGCTTATATAGTAGAATGATCCCTTCGCAAAACCCACCAACCATTCACAGTAGTATCCTTGATGGATTGAGATCATTTGAAAATTGATAGAGGTAAGAACATCTGTATGACTTGGTTCCAACTCAGTGGCTGACAAGTAACGTGCTTGCCTTGAGATCTGATGGTAGTAGGTTAAATCCACTACATGGCCATAGACACATGTGGTAAACATATTTTTGCAAAAAAGATATATTCAACTTAAGCATGCAAATATAACAAGCAGAAATAAATGGGCTCAGGCAACACAATCGTCAAAAAATGAACGTATACTTAAATTATATTAATGGAATGGAAACCTACATCATTTGATCCAGTTGGACTAGGACTAGAGGAATCACGCATGATAGGTGAATCCACAAGTAACTTTTTACGTGATTTAAAAGTATGTGTTTCAATAGGACGTGAAGATGGGGTACATTTAGATTGTGCACCATTACGCAATGTTAAATCGTCTAACGTAGTCTGGTTGAAAACACCTGTAAGTACAGGTAGAAATGAATTTGTGTTATTTTAAACATTTAAAGTATTCCACATAAACATAAGACTGATAAGCACGTTTATTTTTTTAGAAATACATTTATATGCCACTTTAAAGGTCAAAAAGACAAATAAACAGAATTTTGTTTTATTGATTTCAACGTAACTTTCGAAATTCGAAGGAATCCTCTTAGATGATCATTGACGACACTGACAGTCAAATGTACTTATGAAATAATTCAAAGTAAAAGTTAGTGGAAACTGAATTATGATACAGTGACTTGGAAGTAATATGCTCGTTGAGAAACAATACTTTATCTTGGCTTACTAAGATGGAGCAGTAAATTAGAAATGTCTAGTTTCCGAAAGTTCTTGGTATCGATCGACGATTGCCCGACCGATAGCTGCTACCTTGACGTGGTGGTCGGGCTTGCATATCACAATGACCCAACGAGCTATGCTGGTGGAACGCTTGTTCCCTCGAGGTCCTACCATACCAGAAAGGTCTGTTGGGTAGTGGTTAGACGAAAAGCAGTTACCGTCATAGTGTAAATTGCTATACTATGATGGGGGTCTGAGGGCGAAGTCGTACTGCTGCTAGCTGGATGGGGTGTGACAGCAGTAAGGTGTTTCCCTTGGATGACCAGCAGTGCCAAGCTGATGCTGCCTTCTCAGTGGAAGGGGGGGTTAGAAAAGGTCGGCCCCAAAAATAACACACTCCACCACGCCCCACGGTCTGCCGGGCCGGCGGTGTTGGTTCACTTGTCGTTTCCTTTCGCTCATCCGGCCCCAAAAATACAAAAATTCAAAATAATCATACTCAAAAGGCTGGGTGTGACAGGCCTCAAGCAGATGTCCGATGGGCTCTGCGGTCACACAAATCTCTTTCAGGTACCTTAAGAAGAAATAGCCTTCCACGGTGTGGGCAGCCGGGAAGTGTCAACCGCCCTCACAACTCTGTCAGCACCCAAGTTTCTTCTGACTGCTATCCTCCTCCTCCATCATTACCTTCTAATCTTCCTTCACGTCTCTTAATTAATGATGCTGCATCATCTTCAATTTCTCCTACCTCTGCAGCCTTCGACAACGATCTGAGTCCACAGAACAGCATCCCTGGTCTCCTTAAACCACGCTCCAAATTACATATTGGAGCCTTCAATGTCCGCACCCTCCGTCAAATTGGCCAACAGGCTTCGTTGGCAAAGACTCTAGCAACTCGAGGCATGGATGTGTGCTGTGTTTGTGAGACACGCATACAGGACCCAAGTGTGGTTATTCACCTGACCTCTCCTGACCAATCTGGTGAATCTGCAAAATTCACCCTTCGAGTTTCTGGAGATTCGATAGCTAGCTCTCGTGGTCTTGCAGGTGTAGGTATAGCATTAAGCACCAGGGCAGAAAACTCACTACTAGACTGGATCCCAGTTGATAGTCGCCTCTGCGCTATGAGGCTGAACGGCACAGTGAGAACTAAAAGGAATAGTGAGACTCGCCGTTGTCTCTTTGTAATCTCTGCTTACGCACCCACTGACTGTAGTTCGGATGAAGTGAAGGACGAGTTCTACCATAAACTGTCTAACCTCCTCTCGAAAGCCAAACGTTCGGACGTAGTGGTTGTTGCAGGTGACCTCAACGCACAGGTGGGTAGACTGAGTGAGGCAGAAAGGCACTTAGGTGGCACTTTCGGAATCCCAGCTGAACGTACAGATAACGGTGATCGCCTATTACAACTATGCTCAGATAACCGCCTATTTTTAGCCAGCACAAATTTCAGACATAAAGAAAGGCACTGTCTGACCTGGCGTCCACCGAGCTCGACTCAGCGATGGACACAGATAGACCACATTGCTATTAGTCATCGCTGGAGAGGATCGGTGGAAGACTGCCGCTCCTTCTGGAGTACGTGTTTGGACAGCGATCATGCGTTGGTCCGAGCACGTATATGCCTGCGTCTCAATGGACGTAGAAAAAATTTGGCAACAAAACCACTACGAGTTCTGCTGGACAACGAAAACACCAAAGCCGTGTTCAGTGAGAAGTTGGCTAGGCAGTTATCGGAACAAAAGACTGTCACTCATCCAGAAGAAGCTTGGTGCCATCTTCAGTCTACTGTAAAAGCAGCACTGGAGACTGTAGCCGACTCCAAGATAATGGCTAAAAAGAGCCAGTGGATATCAGCAGCTTCTTCCAAACTAATGGATGCACGTGAATGCATCCCTGCAGGCTCTGAGTACAATGAAGAGCGAGCGCAACTTAAAAATAAACTGACGAAAAGTCTGCGCAACGATCGTGAACAGTGGTGGGCAGCAAAGGCTAAAGAGATGGAAAAGGCAGCGGCGATCGGTAACAGTAGACAGTTATTTAGACTTATTAAGGAGACTGGGGGGAAATGGTCAACAACAGTTAGTGAGGTTATAGCGGAGAAGGACGGATCGGCGATTCACTCGCAGGGAAGGCGACTGGGACGATGGGCAGAACACTTTGAGGAACAGTTTAACTGGCCTCCAGCCACCATTGCGCTGCCCGCTATCCAGTCGGACCCTGAATGGGACATAGAGACAGGTCCCCCAACACTAGAAGAAGTTGAGAAAGCGGTAGGTAGCCTGAAACGAGGAAGGGCAGCAGGACCAGACGGACTACCTGCTGAGGTATACAAGAATGGTGGTAGAGTTCTCTTAGTCAGGCTAACGGAAGTGTTAGCCAGTATATGGGAATCAAATACGATCCCCTCCGACTGGTCTAAGTCACTGATCATCCCAGTCTTCAAGAAAGGCGAGAAGTCCTCTTGTGATAACCACAGAGGAATCAGCCTGACAAACATAGTGTCTAAGATCCTAAGTTCTATAATTCTCCGACGCCTGAGTGGAGCTCGGGAACAGCAAGCCCGAGAAAACCAGGCAGGCTTTAGACCTGGCCGTGGATGTATCGACCAAATATTCACACTGCGCCAGGTCCTGGAACATAGGCATGCTTACAGACGCCCGACAATAGCTGTATTTCTCGACCTGAAGGCGGCATTTGACTCCGTTGATCGAGAAGTCTTATGGCAGTGTCTGTCACTGAAAGGCGTGCCTAGTAAGTACATCACCTTATTGAAAGCTCTCTACTCGAACACTTGTGGGCATGTTAGAGCCTATGGTGAGTTGTCCAGGGAGCTATACTCATCAAGTGGTGTCCGTCAAGGATGCCCACTATCCCCATTCTTATTTAATTTTATCATAGATATTCTTATGGAGGTTTCCCTCTCGTCACCTAATTACAAAGACGTTGACCGGATCACAGGTGAATTTTCCTTAGATCTAGAATATGCAGATGACATAGTCCTGTTAGGTGAAGACGCTGACAAGATGCAGAGTCTTCTGAACACTTTGAGTGGGAATTTGAGAATGTTTGGGATGCGATTTTCACCACCCAAATGCAAATTTTTGCTCCAGGACTGGTCTTCAGCGGTACCGCGGTTAACAATAGAGAGTGAAGTGGTTGAGTGTGTTGACCACTTCACTTACCTGGGAAGTAGGATCAACCCTGGTGGGTTAGTTGCCGATGAGATTTCTGCACGGATACAAAAGGCTCGATTGGCTTTTGCCAATTTGCGCCACCTATGGCGCCGCCGTGATATTCGTTTGTCTATTAAGGGTCGCGTGTACTGCACAGCAGTCCGCTCTGTTCTACTGTATGGCTGTGAAACATGGCCATTGAAAGTGGAAGACATGAGAAGGTTACAGGTATTTGACCACCGTTGCCTTCGTAGTATAGGACGTATTCCGTGGTGTCACCATGTGAGTAATGCAGAAGTTAGGTGTAGAGTTTTAGGGAGAAGAGGTAAGTCAGTCGACGAGGTTGTGAACCTTCATCGACTGAGATGGTTGGGACACGTACTACGTATGCCTAGTCACCGATTGCCTCGTCACACAATGTTGGCTGAGGTGGGTTCAGGCTGGAAAAAGGCCCGAGGTGGCCAGACTAAAACATGGCACCAATGTATGAAGTCTCTGACTGTTGGTTTAAGCCATGTAGGACGATGCAGACTAGGTGGTTGGGGTCCACGGGACAAGAGGAACCAGTGGTTGGAGACCCTAGGTGATATGGCTCAGAACCGAAGTCAGTGGCGCAGATGTATACACACATTATCCTCATCTTAACAACGCTATACCGAATCTCACTATTTTGTCACTCCTCTTTCCTTTCTTCTCATACTTTATATTTCTTTTGACTGCATTCACTTATCTTCATCCTTCACCTCACTACCTTTTTACTTGATGTGCTGATATGAGGTGTGGCAACTCGGACCGTTACGCAGTAATGCCTGGTCCTATGTTGATAATGATGATGATGATGACGATCGAGGATTGAATTTTATATTAGGACCTAAATCATATGGAGAAAAAAATCTATTGAAGTTTATTCCTTGGATTTAAAGCGTTAACACATTTGACGGTATACATTTATACGGTTTCGAATGATTACGTAGTGAAGTGTTTAAGAGTTAGGAATTAATGCACTGCAGAAATACTTGCTTTGGTTCGATCACTTTCAGTGACAGAAATTAATTTGATGAAATCGGGTTTAAACAAGTTGGCGATGAACCTGCAGGAATAATCATTGGAAGTAGTAAATCTTAGTGATGAGTAGTTTCTTTAAATGCAATGATACACATTTTTAAGGTGACCGTTCACTTACAATCAAAATAGATTTTGTGTTCAAAAAGTCAAACATATATCTGATAATTGAACCGGTAATGATGAGTGTAAACTACAAACTTGCGTTCGAATTCAGCAAAAATCTGAGTGTAGGGAAAACCATGGAAAGAGCTAAGTTACGCAAACATACAATTCAGAGTCCGCCAAATCTGGCTTTTTTTTAACGAATTAGGACGGGAATTCCAAAGCAATTATGCGAAAAATACTTCAAACAATCAGGTAATTATCTCCATCAGAATTTACCTTCCACCCTGAAAGGGCATCTTGAAAGACAAAACAATAAAAAATAATCCTATTTTTGAGGATTTGACACACCTTGTACATATAATTCAAATATATTGCTAAACAGTAACACAAATAAGCCTTCTTACTCTTCTTCCAGTACTCAATTAATTCTGCACCTTTTAGAATCAAAGGTAAATACAACTACTTAACACTAAAACATACTTGAATGAGAGCTTTTAAGATGCTTTTTCAAAGAATGCTTCTGAGTATAGCTTTTTTCGCAAAGGTCACAAGAGTATGCGCGTACACCTATATAATAAATAAATTGAAGGAAAGGAAAAATATTGTATAAACTCGATATACAGAATAAATCAAACTTAGGGAATTCAGAAATAGTAACTACATGAAAGGGAGGAAAATGCAAACTGACATCAACTAACACTTAATCGATGCTGAACGCTCGCTGTAGCATCGGATACTACTTCATTGAAAAGCATCAACAGAAGTTTAACCAAAGCATAAAGCGCATATATCTAACAAAATGATAAGCAATTTAATCACATAAAAGAACGGTTTCTTGCGAGATAGATTTGGACACACAACAAACGCATCAATACAGCAATCTGACAGCACGGTCGTGAGAATGATGAACAGAAAAACGCTACACATAGTAAAGTACTTTTTGCACTCAGCCTGGATAGCACTTTGATAAAATTAGTTCATTTTTCAATTTTCCTAGTAAAACAAATAAACTAAGCGGAGAGTTTCAATTTTCACAATTATATACGCTGTTAAGATAGGTTACACATGCTTATAAATATGAATTCACGTAATATATGATAACAGAAAATAAATTACCTCAGTGCAAAGTTATCAGACAATGAACATACAAAACTGACAAGTGCAAAAACAACAACTGTACCAGGATAATTTAACCCCATCATTCTTACTTTCTTCGAGAGATCTCAACTCATTATAACATAGGATTTTGAGAGGTCTGGGGGACTTAGAGTTATTTCAAGTTGGTATTCATCCTAGACTGACATCAGTTGGATGGACAATGAAAACCTGGGGGCACTGGACAGCTGTTTCGCCCTAGTGTAGGACTCTTCAGCAGTGTGCACCCGCGACCTCGCCAGGGATCGAACCCATGACCTTCAGGTTCCGTGGCCAACACGTTACCATTGAGCCACTGAGTCGAAATCCAATAGTCCATATTTCCAACTTACAGCTTAAGTAGTATCTGCGTTTAGATACAACGATATTTGAGCAGACTTTTAACAACTTGACAAAAGGTTATTGGTAGGACCAACCAGTAACACATATTGTATGTAATTAAAGTAGTGGAAATCATTAGGAATGTGAGCGGAAGACTTGCCACTTACAGGATTATCAGGTGGAAATTCTTGAAAGAGAAGGTTAGGTGGTGAGTGGGAAATAATCACCATCGATTGCGTAACTTCAAAGTGTTTTGATTTTAAAGCAGCTTGAAGAGTAGGGTGAGTAGAGTTCACATAAAATATTGAGATTTGGAGCAGAACAAAATGTGCAAGATACAATGACGCAATAAGAATACGTACGACAGAGTGACGCAACAAAATGTTGCATGCATTTTGTTATAGAAAACAAATTACCACAATAGTGCGATGTTGACAACTGTCTTTTTGAACACATAGATTTGGTCAAATTCTCCTAATGACTATTGCTTTGGTGAAACAAAACAGGTTTGAGTTCTTTCACCTATGGACCACCTATTGAACAATTTGAGGCTGTCAATACTGTATACGGTATAAATTAGACGACATGCGATCACACTGCACAGTGCATGTGAATCCTTTAATCTTAGACTCTTAGGGATGTGCTCATAATTGCTGACGGGAATCCTCCTTTTTCTCCTTGCAATATATATGCTTAGGCACGCACACGTAAATTGCTATAATGAAATAGAAATCTGTCCACTTAGGATTACCACAATGAAAAACTTGTCGAGTGTAAAGAGTTCAGCTTGGGAGTAGGACACTTTTTATCCAGTGTAGAATTTTGTCGACTCTTGCTCCTAGCAGCAATTTCACCACCCTTCAAGGCAAGTTGTAAAAAGACCGACTTATTCTCTAGTGCTCTACACTCCATTCTTTTTGTATTAGATTTCCCGTATCTACCAATGAGGATAATAATTATCACACCATGGCTTCTCAACTGGGGATAACTCTTCAAGCTTTTTTTGCGAGCACAGTTTGCATGTGCAGTTTAGCAAAGTTCTAAGCCCCCACTTTTTCGTAGCTTATAAGACAGAAGCTTTTGAAGTTTAAATCAAGTCCACTCCAAGTCTTCTTTCTTCGGATGTATCTTTGAATTCTTCCATCTATTTCATGTTCACCACCAAGATCCAGGAAATAAAGCTTAATATTAAAATTCATTACGATGGACATCATTGAGTAGATTTAGTCAATGAGATGCGCATCATGCACATGCTTAAATAAAATTCTGCCCTATTGATTGCATGCTTCTTCATTGGCTCCTCCAGATCACCCAAAGAATATGTCAGACAAAATCGGACTTAAACGGGTTCTCTATAGTAACCCTGTCGATTTAACGACATTGTTAGACTGGAATTGGACGTCTTCCGTGAAAGTCAGTAAAAGCCACTTCAAAGGATTCTTCGGTAAGAGAAGAAGGTCTGAATGTTGACATATAATGCTTACAGTTTCTCCGAGTGGGATCTTTGTAGATAAGGATGATATGTAATTGAAAATCATGATTTTATTTGAAACATTCGTATTTTCTAGCATTTGAGCGAATTTAAACGAGTTTTGTAAACTGTAGACAGCTAACTAACCGCGGATTTGTTTCAGTTGTTTTGCGATCCAACGGGCAAGTTTGCTACCGGTAACAGTCTCAAATCGTTCAATAGGTGGTCCATAGGTGAAAGAACTCAAACCTGTTTTGTTTCACCAAAGCAATAGTCATTAGGAGAATTTGACCAAATCTATGTGTTCAAAAAGACAGTTGTCAACATCGCACTATTGTGGTAATTTGTTTTCTATAACAAAATGCATGCAACATTTTGTTGCGTCACTCTGTCGTACGTATTCTTATTGCGTCATTGTATCTTGCACATTTTGTTCTGCTCCAAATCTCAATATTTTATGTGAACTCTACTCACCCTACTCTTCAAGCTGCTTTAAAATCAAAACACTTTGAAGTTACGCAATCGATGGTGATTATTTCCCACTCACCACCTAACCTTCTCTTTCAAGAATTTCCACCTGATAATCCTGTAAGTGGCAAGTCTTCCGCTCACATTCCTAATGATTTCCACTACTTTAATTACATACAATATGTGTTACTGGTTGGTCCTACCAATAACCTTTTGTCAAGTTGTTAAAAGTCTGCTCAAATATCGTTGTATCTAAACGCAGATACTACTTAAGCTGTAAGTTGGAAATATGGACTATTGGATTTCGACTCAGTGGCTCAATGGTAACGTGTTGGCCACGGAACCTGAAGGTCATGGGTTCGATCCCTGGCGAGGTCGCGGGTGCACACTGCTGAAGAGTCCTACACTAGGGCGAAACAGCTGTCCAGTGCCCCCAGGTTTTCATTGTCCATCCAACTGATGTCAGTCTAGGATGAATACCAACTTGAAATAACTCTAAGTCCCCCCAGACCTCTCAAAATCCTATGTTATAATGAGTTGAGATCTCTCGAAGAAAGTAAGAATGATGGGGTTAAATTATCCTGGTACAGTTGTTGTTTTTGCACTTGTCAGTTTTATAAAAAGGAGGAATTGTAAGGTGTTTATAATGAAGATACAAATTAACAAGCATTATAAACCAGTGCTAAAGGATTTTAAAATTTTCTGCAATTTCTTTAACGTATCTTAATTACGCTTTTTCTGCTTTACACAATATGGCAGGGCAAAATAATCTAATTCTCTATATACTAATCGTTTTGAAACCTATATGAAAATATCACCAATGCTTCAATTAGCATTGGTGCGGATTGGTGATTTCTTCATGCTATGTAGTGCTACGCGTAATGTGCTGACAGAAGCAAGTGCATGAGTTACATCACGCAAGCAAATACAAAAAAACTAACCAGTGAAAAAGCGCATGTGGATAGTCAATAACATGCAGATGCTAACAGGTTTTATAAATGCAACTGTTCGGAAATATATTTTCACAGTAAGTTTTCAATTTTGGTCTCTTTATGAGTGAGTTCATCGATGTACAAAAATCAGTAAAGTCTCACTGACTTGAAAATATAGAAGCTTACTCAGTTAACTCTATCGAGAACTAAGTGTGTATACAGGACGTGCAAATTTTTGACTTTCATTAAAGCAAGAAAGTCCAAAACACCCACTCGTGTAGAGAAGATAATTAATTTTATCTTGACCTATGGCTTCATGTATGAAAATAACAAGATTCCGCTTTCAAAACGCATATATATAACATTTAAAACTAAAGCTATGTATCATTCTCAAGATTTTCTAAAATAATTTATTCTGAATACATGATACTCATTATCTACATGAAATTAAGAAAATAAGGTTAACTAGACTTCGGTAGGACAGAATTACTTTAGATACTTATTTTGGTGACGAAGCTGTATACATATTAACGATGGATGTCATCAGGTTTTGAATTATCTGCTCTCAATACAATAAAAGAAATATGAGGTAATCAATACTGCATATATAATAATGCACGGACTTGATATTTATTTGTTGTATTCTAAGTAGCAAGTCGAGACAGAACGGATAAATTTTAATTCAGAAAGCTATGTTTCCTGTTATACTGACGACTGAACAAGCTTTGAGTATCAGCTTGTTGGGACCAGCTATATATAATGTGTATGTCTGCCTTAATTCTTGTGCGATAATAAATGGTGCATATCTTAGTATCATCTAGGTCAAATATGCTTGGTTGGCATAATACTATCTTGCAGGCAAACAGACAGACTCAAAATAGGAATTACAGTGCAACGATCCAAGTTGTCACATCTCATATCAGCACATCAAGTTACAATGCAAAAGGATGAAAAATAAAAAAATTAGCACGAACTCAGTAAAAGTGATGGAAAGCCATGGATAAGAAAACGAAGGGGAATAAGAAAACACTGAATTCAGTATGACAATCTAGATGAAGATAATGTGTATATATAACACCTGCACCATTGGCATTGATTCTAAGCCATTTAACCCAGATTCTCCAACCAATGGTTTCTTTTGTTACACGGATCTCAACCGGGAAGCCTCGATTTCACTACATAGCTCAGATCAACAGTTAAAAACTTGATGTACCCAAGCC